CGCATAAAATAGAAAGCATGAAAGGAGAGAGGAAGGGCATAGAAATGGAACCCTCCTGTCTTTACCTCTCATTTAAATAAGTAATTGAATTAAAAAAATAAAATAAAGAACTTTATTCTCCTCTCTTCTATTTCTTTTAATTTAAAATTATAAAATATTAATTATTATTAAATAAAAAACTCTTATTTAATAATTAAATTATATAATGTAGTACAATATAAACTATAATGTATATTATAATTTTTATTACGTTACCTGATTAACAACCAATTAATATGTCCCGCATGACACATTTCTTTAAGGAGAAATATTATTGTTTTTTTATTTTTAATTTTAGGTTTTATTATTGCAGTTTATCCGTTCGCCTGTATTACCCGATGTTTTATTAGGCTCTCCTTATTTCTTTTATAAGAATATTAGTATACAAATAGTTGCCAATCCTATCATTATTTTATTTTTCTTTAACGTTAGTAATGTATCCAATACTTTTAATTTAGAGGCCACGGAAAAAACGATATTTTGATATAAAAAATATTTAGATGTCTAACAATAGTTATAAGACATGTGATATATAATATAAATTTTATTTAAATTTTATTTATTAAGTATTTTAGATTAGACATTATAATATTTTTAATGTAAAATATTTTAATTATCATTTTTTTGTACTTTTTATATTATTGATTTACTTATAAAAATTAAGTTATATCATCCACGTGATAAATATTTTATTAGTATACGAGTAGTATAACTCAATCATAAAAGAAATTATTAAAAAAAAAATGTCATTGGCATTCATAACAAGGCTAAAATTAGGATAGAAATTGATTTCTTGAGTAGCATTAGTGAAATATGAAATTTTTTAATCAAAATTTAACCTCTACATGCAATAAGTAACTAGACTCAAATTTTAATATATTATTAAGTAAACTTTATTTTATAATTTAGATTATATTGAATTATAAAATAAAAATTATTAAATAAAAAAAACTCTAATATCAAGTAATTTAATTCTATTTAATAATTAATATAATACAATATAATACAATTTAATTTACACTACACTTTTCCTATTATTAAATGATTTTTTAGTAAAATCCTGTAGGAAACAGCCGGCAGATTATGACATTTTTACGCTTTCACAATTGTCAGTCGGCCGGACTGCCGTCTTGACCAAAGCATCAAGCAAATGACGGCGCTTTCGGCCCACACCTCCTCACTTTATCACCGACCGGATCATTTTTCCACCTGCCTTTTGATCGGATATCTCCTTGAAATTTCTCATCCTTTACCAAGACAGCAACCGTACGTGTTCTTGTGTACTCTTTATAAGAAAATCAGCTGAGCCCTCATAACACAGGCCAAACAAAAGATTCTCAAAAAATATCAAAAGAAAAGAAACAAAATATCTTTGGACAGAATACTGTCATGGCGGCTAAACAGAATGCGGAAAGAGCCCGTACTAAGAAGTACCAGGTACCTTTCAAAATCATCCTCCATCACAATTGTTCTTTTTTCTTCTGTTGCTCTTATTTCAGGCAGGATTTTTCACTATTTCTCACAGGAAAGAGACTCGAGAAAAAGCGTAAGGCAGATTATAAAGAAGTTGAGGGCAGAGATGGAGGAAATCAGGGCGGAGGTGGATCTGATCCGTCGGAGACAAAAGCATTTCAAAGGCAAAAGGTTGGTCGGATCGGAATATGAAATGCTGATTAAAATTTGATTCCGAATTCGCTCTCTAAGAAACCGAAAATCTCAATCTCTCATACTCATTTTTTGGTTCCAAATCTACTTTACAGTTTGTTCCAAGGGGATAAACATCGATTTGATAAACGGCTTAGGAAAGAAGAGAAGACTCTCCAGAGGATGGAAGCAAAAGCAGCAGAGGCCAGAGCCGAAACCAGCCGCACGAGAGAGGAAACAGCGGCTATGGTAGAAGTTATGGACGATAAAAAGGCTGAACTGGAGCTTTTGAGGGTGCTGCATATTCACCTTTTCAATGAATTGGTTGTTCTCTCGGACACAGAGCAAGAGGGTATGGAGATCCTACTTTCCTAAAGCAGGGGACTGAAATATTGAAAGTTATACCACCAGGCTCTGCTATATCCTGGGTTCTGTTTGGCCAAAAAATAAGAAGTCCTTAGTTTCTGCTTTATCTGTTTATGATATTTTTCCTTCATAAATCAGCATCTCTTCTGTTCGTCTTAGTAAGGTTTCAATATGTCTGTTCTGTTTGGCCAGAAAAGAAAAAATCCCCAGTCCCGCTCCTGCTATATCTGTCTATGCTATATCTCCTGTACCTGTAAAATTTTATGTTTCTTTCATTCTTAGTATTAATGATAAATTTAGTCTCTGGGTTTTGTTTGCCAAAAAGTAAAAATCACTAGATTCAGGGCCTGCTCTACTCTGTTCCTATTCCATTTTGTACATCTATGATCTGTCTCTCTTAGACCTAATCACAAATTTATATACAAAGAACGCAAAAGATCTACTACTGATGACAATTTGAGCAGGGGAAGCAAGCGTATTTCACAATTATAACTATGCTTAACAGCTTAGCTACATGGGATGACAATTAACAATTTAAATTATATGATCAAGAACAGTACTAGAATGAAGCTGTAAGGTGCATACAAATGTACATATCGCCAAAATTTGTGTGTGCTCTCAATTCTGTGAATTTATGAGCTAATGGTTCCTAATTATTGACAATATATAGGCAGATAATTGACTACTCTTATTGGTGCAAAGTACTGACCTGCCTTCTACTTTTAGGATATTGGTCCAGACCTTGAGACTGCAAATCTAAGTAGCATACTGGGACCGGTGCCCCTGAATTTGAGCCTTCAATGAGCTTAACTTTACGGCTTGAACTGTAACCCTGAGGTCCAGAACGGCAAACAGTCTGGTGTTTCGGTTCTATGCTCCTAACGCTAAAGGTGCACCTGGCTACGTGATGTTAGCCCTTTAAAGTTTAAAGAACCATGAATCATTAGTACTGTACGGAGGAGTTGAGTCCCCACCGGGCTACCTTGTTACAGGAGATACATGTGCCAAAGCTACAGCAGGTGAATGGCGGGGGGAAGCAGTTAATAGTGCCAGACTGCCAGAGGCATTGAAGGGGAGTTTGCATAGCACTGGCAACCAATTAATTTCCATGTTTTCATGTCCTCAAAAAAGAAAGGAAACTAATTAATATTGGTTTTTAAGGTAAGGGCAGGGGAGAGACCAACACAAGTCCCCGGCCAAAAATTATGATATAGGCTCACTCCCCCACTTAGACGAAACCTACCTAGTCTATAAGCTAGTAGAATTAAGGCAACTTCCTATACCATGTGTCTTCTTCCTTATTACCGCAGCCATATACATCTTCTTGATCACCCCATAACTTTTGTTTTTTGACCACAGCCATATATCTTCCTAAACCCATAGGCTTTTAATTTCTCTACCTGATGTGAGACTTTACAATGTTACATTTCAAACTGCACAACATCAGAGGCAGTGGACAAGCATACGGCGATTAATCACAGTACTTGAGCTTAATTAATTAGTTGGCTAAGGATGCTAAAAAACACTGGTGCGTAATCCAGTTTAATTTGCTTATTTGGTTTGCTAAGTTTAGGGGATGATTTTAAAATAATGTCAAGTTTTAGTTTGGACTCCTTAGCTCTGAATTAGAGTCAAGTTGGTTTTGGGTATTTGGGGCTGATTAAATTAGGTTGTAACTGCAGATCTGAAGTATTTTCTTGTATCGTTTTTAGTGGCTCACTGCTGTGCTTGATTCGAAGTTTGCGCTTGAACCCAAATTGGGTCTAAATATTAGTATTGGGTTTCGGCTCAAGGTTTCAATTGTTGTAGTTCCATTTTTCTTTTCTTTACCGTTTTAATTAGAGAGGCTGACCTACAAAGAAATATTTTAAGGGTTGGCTTGCTACGAAGCCAACTTTAATATGACAATTTTTATTGAAAAGTAATTACCAGAGTATTGTATAGAAAATTAAAATATTATACTAAAAATTTATAAATTTTATAATGAAATTTTGGTGAAGTTTTATTGATATTGTTAATTTTTTTATGTATGTTAGAAAAGCTAAATGAAAATAGTTAAGTAAATTCTACAGTATAAAAAAATTAGAGGGAAACTCTATACTTTTAAAAAAGATGAAAAAATGTTGACTTAATGAAAATTATGTTAGACAAAATATTTACTAAAATCTCAACTTTATCCTTATTGTAATATTAATATATAAAAATACCAAACTAACCCTAAAGAATTTATGTAGTGGGAAAAGTCAAGCAGTAAGTTTCCTCTTTTACATTATCTTTGGTTTCATTGCCATATAAGCTCTTGCCAACCTCTCACGCTTGATTAAGTGAACAATGTGGAGGCCAATGTTGCTTCGTCAAATCCTTCCACTTTTATTACTTGTTCATAAAGATTTTTAGATAAAACTTCCAATGGATCTTCACTCAATTTTTCAATTGTTGAGGCAATTTCCCCAAACTGTTCTAAAATCTTCTTAATATTCCCGTCATCCAAATCGACACAAATTCTTTTGTGATGAGACTTAGATTTTGAAGTGGCTTCAATTAACGTAGATGTTTGTTTTCCCTTTCCTAGTTCTTCAATAGGTATTTATTCATGATGTTTGCTTTAAATTTCCTCCAAATCAACATCAGCGCAACATTGTGCAAAAGCTCCCTGTTGCTATGTCTTTCCCAACCACCATGACCATCTCATCATACATCTCAATCTTTTGATTCAAGTATTGCATGTGCTTAGGATGTGCCTATAAACAAAAGGATTTCCAAGTTAAAACAATAGCCAAAACAAACAATAGGCTATGGAATATCAAAGTTCTATAGATCTTTAAAATATTCTAGAAACCAAAAATCGAAACCCAAGTACAAATGAAAAGAGTAATTATTACTCAACAACAATATTTTTTTCCAATTTATCTACTTTGCAAAGACACAAAAGCCTTCCAAGAAAAGCACCATATATCATTTTCTTATTTGATATGATAAAGTTAACAACTTTTAGGGTCAAGATAATATGAAAGTGGGAGCAAAATGAAAGCTTAGATTCTATAAAACAGAGCACAGAACTTAGAAAATTAAATTGTGTGAAAAAATTAGATAAAAAATTGCAACTACAGAGAAAAACGATAAGGACGATATAAATAATGTATCGTCACTTGTTGATCAGCCACTTCTTGGTCAGCAGTGATCATTTTTAGTGTATCATCCCATCCAAATCCACTTTTGTTCTGAAGTGTTGTAATAATATTCCATGTGAATTTTATTGTCTTCAGTTGATTCTCCACATGAGCAGGCACACATTCAACACCAAATTTCAAGCTTATAGTTTCAGCTACTCGAGCAAGGGATTGGTGTTTATGTGTTAGATGGCTTGTTGCCTTTTGTTGCCTCTTTAGTAAGAATCTCAAGTAAAATCTGCTCCATTGGTTCTGTCCACCTTAATTGCTTTGATTACCGATGACTACAATAACCAAATTGAAGTTGCTTTAATTAAGTAGACCCCACAAAAGAGCAAATTCTTGGTTTACATTGGCAAGAACAAGAAGCACATGCATAAGATGTGTTTTCCCTCCAGAATCTCCACAATATAATTCAAGATCTCAATTAGACAATCCCCAAACTACTCTAGAAGTTAATCAAATTATAATAATTAATAGCCTTCTAGGGTAAAAGAAGGAACAAGTGGTAATAAAGAAAAGAAAAGAAAAAAAAAAGAGTGGGTGGAAGAATCATTCACAAAAGTTCAAACATGAAGAGCTGATTGTCAAAAACAAAGAAAAAAATGGAATTTTTAAATAAATAGTATTTGACAAGTTGTTTCATTTGATAAAAGAATATCAATCATCATTCAAGTATTATATAAAAGTGTTATTTACAGTTATGTATACAGAAGTTAAAGCATATAAATAAGAAAAAAAAAAGGAGGAATAGTTTTTTTTTTTTTCTTTGATGCACTAAAACAAGTGGTTCAAACTTGGGGGGAATGGGGATTGGGATCGGGATCGGGAAGGGGAGGGAGAGGGGAGCACAAGTTTGAACCCTTACCATGAGTTTGTGGAAGCTTTTAGACTAGTGACAAAGTCACTTCAACTACCAGAGCTCCACAAAAAAAACTGTGAGGATACGTCCAAATTGAACTGTGCTTCAAAAGACTGAGGTCTTCGTCTCAATCCTTATTCCTGGTTGTGGAAGCTCGTGAGAACCCACATTATCTTATCCATTCCTCAGCAAAGACTGCTCAAAACACCATGTCGTGCTCTGATAATCAATCTATGAAAGAAGGTGGACCTTACCTATTTCCTATAAATACCCATTGGGGATCCTTGTCAAGGTACTTTTTCATCTTGTAGACTTTTCCTTGCTTACTTCGGCTATGTAATAGACTGTTGTTAACCTAAGTATGAGCATCTATTCCGAAATCCATCCTTTAGGTCTTTGTAGGTCTGTTCAGTTCGTATTGCTCTGACTTCAATAAGAAAGACTGCAGACTTAGCTCGTGCAATTACAAAAACAGAAGAAGAGTTAATGTACTTCAAGTTGTCACGTTATTCACGTCAACAAGAGGTATACAAAATCTTGACTTACTATCAAATTTAACATGTTGAGATTTCAGACCTACATTAAAGCCTGCTAACTTCTTTGCGGATATCAAAAAAAATTATGTATCATAGTTAGCTCATCTAACATGCAGATTTTGCTTGGTTCTCAAAACAAGTTTGAATTGGTCATATTAGCAACAAGCTGAGTTGTATGTACAAGCTCTACAACAGTAAAAAAATCCATGATTTTTTTTTTTTTCTTTTAGGCCGTCGTAAAAAATCCATGATTAATAAGGACAAAAGAGTATTTTGAAACCCATATTCCCGACAAAGTGTCCACCGACTTCCAATTTAGTTTAATATAAACGTTTTAATCCAGTAGGGAACTTTTCTACAAATTTTCCATCCTTCAAGTCTTTTTATCAGAAAACTCGCAAGCAATCAAGTGAGACGTATATAGGATTAGGTTGATGAAAAAAAAAGGGAGTCATATATAGGATTAGGCTTCTGTTTGTTGTGGTCTGGGGACTTAAAATAAGAAATAGTTTAAATTTTAATTTTGGTTCTTTAATTTTAGAGTTTTACTTAATTTTTGTTCTTAAATTTTTTTATAACTTTTTTTTCGTCCTTCAATTATTAAAATGCATTTGTTTAATTTTTTTATCAATTAATTTATTAAATTTATCTGTATATATAAATTTTTAATCCCTAAATTTTTAAATTAAAAGATAAAAAATATATATTATAAATTAAAGAATTCAAAATATGCATAAAAAATTAAAAAGGTATATATTTGAATAAACTTAATAACTAATTAACAAAAAGACTAAAAATTATATTTTTTATAGTTGTGGGATAAAAAAATACAAAAAAATTAAATAATTAAAATTACACAAAATTTTAAAATTAAAAAACCAAAATTAACATTTAACTTAATAAAGGTTAAATACCCTTTTTGGTCCCTCTACTATAGGAAAAAG